AGAGACAAGGAGGGCGCTTCGTTGCTTTTATATTGCACCACGATCCTAATTGCACGACAAGGCAAGAAGAGGGGAGGGAGCTTCCAGACACGCACAAATGCACACAGGGCAGCGGCGGCCGCCCAAGCAAAGCCAACCAGAGCCTGCCCCCCCAACACACCCGCGTCCGAGGCCTGTGATCACTCATAGGAAATACTCAAGCAGCCGCCGCGTCTTGCCGCCAGCCGCACTCTCTCCGTCTCCGCCACTTAGAGAGTCCCAAATGTTCCCTATACCCACCCACCTCCCTCCCTCCTGAACTCCCCCCCCCGCGCCTTTTCCTCCTTTTAGCCTACGTGGTATGGATGAGCTCAAAGTGACTTCGGAGAGTTTTCGCCTACCATTTGATAGTTTGCATTTCGACAGCTCGGCTGGAAACGCTTTTTTCTTCGTAAGAAACTGTTTGTGCTTAAGAGCTGCGTTCTCTTGAAGAAAAGCGGGCGAGGGGGGGGGGATACTGCAGTAGAAACCACCTTCAGGGTAACTTCACATTTTACTCCCCCCCCCCCCCCAACTCGGGGGTTATGTCCAGATTCCGCGTTGAAATGGCAAATTCACCTTCTAAAAACAGCGATAGTGCCATTTCCGTGCTGGGCACGGGGAAAACCTGCCTCAATCCTGAACGACTCCCCGGTGCTGTGACTGAAATGTTACGAACAAAGTGCACAACTTCTGCAGCTCAGCCTACACAAGTCTACCAGTAAAGTCTGTGGGCCTGAACTGTCGTGTAAGTGTACACAGGGCGGTTCTAATCGCGGTGTATGTATGTCAAGATAGCAACATCTCAAGAGACAGACAAAACTCTTCCATTCTCTCTTAGCAAGAAACGGCCTTGGACATTGTAGTGTCTGAGGCAGAAATCAAAAGGGCCACCCCCCCCCCATAGTGGTCAAATATACAAACTAAATAATTTGCAGGCTGCTGACCTTTAATAACCCCTCGCCCCCCAAATCTGTCACCTGAGGCACTCATACTCCACTGGCTGCCTGTTAGTTTACCGGCACAATTCCAAGTGGTGGTTCTTCTCCAGCCTTTCTCCCTGTGCCCCCATCTGCAGACATAAAATGGATGGAAACCAGAGACAAAGCTTTTTCATTTGTGGTACCATGCCCAAGGAATGTCTTTGCTCTTGACAATGGCCTGGCACCTCCATAGTTCTCTTTTGGGTGCTGGGCCAAATCGTTTCTGTTCACCCAGGCTAAGGAGTTGATCTTTCAATACCATTTTAGTGTGTTTTTAGTCTGAAAACTGCTGTTTTCCGCTGTTCTGTGGTCTGTTTTTATAGTCTTATGTTTTTTACACTGTAGCTGGGTTTTAATGCTATATTTAAATTAATATATTTTAATATTTTGTTTTTATTTTATTTTTTATTTTGTAAGCCTCCTTGGGCAGAGCATTTAAAATAATTAAGTAAATAAATAAGCTGCCTGTGTGAAGCATTGCTTTTTACTTGAGGTAGAAAATTGTGCAAAAGTGTTTTGTGGCCTGCTTCATCTGGTTACGTGCCCTATTCTTTTCCTTCTATGAATAGATTCAACTGTTCCTCACATTTATATCCCACTGTTTCTCCTTGAAGCTTAGTGTTAAGTCGGCTACTTAACAAACGAGTCAGAGAGTGATTCAGCAAAGATTCAGCTTTATTCAGCAACTCGTAACTCAACTCCAAAACAGATCAACTCGGATAGCCAGAACAGCTTTAACACTGAAGCTGTTCTACTTTTAAATTCTCCCTGCTAATGTAGCCATGCCATACTATACATTAACAACCAATAAGATTGTGTACATAAGGTCCAATCACAGACGTTCCCGCTCAGGGAGCTTGATGGCATGTGATTGGTTGGTTCTTCCTGGGCTACCAATAGGATTGGATGGATTAGGATCCTTGCCCAGGACGAAGCTTAACATGGTGTATGGGTTAGGTGATTCACATCATACATTGGCAGCTATTGAATACATCACAAATTCTTCCCCCCTAAGTAAAGACATACATTAATACTCATAATCATTGAAATACGTTGGAGCACGGCGCACATGCTGAGACCTGCATAGCGGTGCAGGCTCAGGGCATAACTCTGCTTGGGGGCCCCTGCTTGACTCATTGTTCTCTGAGTCAGGTATGCTTTCGTCCGCGGTTGCAGCCTCGAAGGTAGGGGTCTGCCCTACTTCGGGGACAGTACTGAGCACAGCAGTACTCACCTCCGTGGTTGGAGGTCTGGGACAGCCGGCTGGTTCGGGAGACTCAGCCGGCTGGGAGTCTAGGCTTTCCTTCGCCTACCGCTGCCTAAGGTGGTCTACATGGCACCGCCATTTGCGTCTGTTGGCAAGCTCCACCACATACATACGTGAACCTATCACTTCGCTTATTGTGGCTGGAAACCATGAGTGACCCTCTGCGTAGTTTGGGCAAAAAACCTCATCACCTTTTTCGTAAGTGCGGACTTTAGGAAGCGCACTCTGCTGCTGGGGCTTCAAATTGTTAAGATCTGGGTGCAGGCGATCTAAAAGGGTGGTGAGGCGGTGCCCCATCAGCAGCTCGGTCAGGCTGCGGCCTGTGGAAGAACAAGGGGTAACGTGCTGGCACAACAGAAATGAAGCCAGTTTTACCCCCCCAATCACCCTGCGTCAACTTGCTTAGGGCTTCCTTGGTCGTCCTGACCATTCTTTCAGCTTGGCCGTTAGAGGCCGGGTGATAGGGAGCCGATCTCAGGTGCCTAATCCCATTGTCAGTTAGGAACTGGGCAAACTCCCTAGAGGTGAATTGAGCGCCATTGTCGCTCACCAGCACATCCGGTAGCCCGTGGGTTGAAAACAAACGGCACAGTACATTGATGACGGCGATAGAAGAGGTAGAGTGCATGTGTGCAACCTCAAGCCACTTCGAGTACGCATCAACAACAAAAAGAAACATTTGTCCCTGCACCGTGGCTTCCCTGCAGATTCCCATGGCTTCCCTGCAGATTCCCACTTTTGTGGTATAGCTTTAGGAGGTTCAGGCCTGGCCTGATGACAGGGCATACAAACCCTCACCCACTCTTCGATATCGGCATCGATGCCGGGCCACCAAACATATCCCCGTGCCAACGCCTTCATGTGGACCATGCCGGGATGGCCTTCGTGTAAGGAATCTAAGACCTTCTCTCTGAGCTTCCCTGGAACCACCACCCGGTTCCCCCAAAGTACGCATCCCTTTGAAACTGACAGCTCGTTTTGGCGCGCACGGAATGGTTTGAATTCCAGCTCCACATTCCCTGCCTGCCACCCCCGCCACACCCAGTTTAAAATGCGGGCGAGTACATTGTCCTTTGCTGTCGCAGCAGCAATGTCCATGGAGGAGACCAGGGCCTGAGGCAGTTCATCGATAGCTAGCACCATGCTAGCTGGGGCAGGGTCCAAGTCCTGGCCGGGTAGAGGGCAACGGCTGAGGGCGCCCACATGTCCAATCGCCTTGCCTGGCCGGTGTTCAAGGTCGTAGTCATATGCGGTGAGGAAGATTGCCCACCGCAACATGCGGGGACACAGGATGTTAGGAATTTGCCGGTCCGGGGCAAAAATTCCCAGCAGCGGTTTATGGTCTGTGACCAGCAGAAACTTTCTACCAGACAAAAAATCGTGAAATTTCTTGACCGCTGATACCAGTGCCAAACCCTCCTTATCAATCTGAGCGTAATTTTTTTCCGCTACAGATAGCGACCTTGAATAGAATGCAATGGGGGCTTCGCTGCCGTCCGGCATCAAGTGGCTAAGGACCGCCCCCACCCCAAACGGAGATGTGTCTGCTGCTAACACTAGCAGTTTCTGTTCGTCATAGTGCGTTAATACAGCATTTGATGATAACAAGGCTTTAACTCCCTTAAAAGCCTGCTCGTGTACCAAGCCCCATCTCCATTTTGCATCCTTGTGCAGGAGTGCATGTAAAGGTGCTGCCATGGACGCTTTGTGTGGCAAGAATGCATGATAGAAATTTAACAGTCCTAAAAAGGACTGGAGCTCTTTTTTGTTGAGGGGTTGTGGGGCATTCTTAATTGCCGCCACTTTATCCTCTATGGGGTAGACACCACTTTCGTCAATTCGAAATCCCAAAAACTCCACACTCAGGACCCCCACAAGACACTTTGACTGTTTTACCTTTAGACCAGTCGACTTAAATCGCTCTAGCACTGTTCTCACTCATTCCATAAGCTCCTGGTCAGACCTTCCTGCAATCAGTACATCATCGAAATATGGAACAGTGCCAGGCACCCCTCGGAGTAACCCTTCCATGAGACCTTGGAAAATCCCTGGGGCGACATTGATTCTGAACTGGAGTGTCTTTACTCTGAAGCCCCCCCGGTGGGTAACTATCATTTGGGCCTCAGCTGCCTCTTTTGTCACTGGCAGCTGCTGGTATGCTTGAGCTAAGTCAAGCTTCACAAATACTTCCCCCCCCCAGAGATGCCAGGATGTGGCTAATGACAGGGACAGGGTATGAGTGCTGTTGTAAGGCACGATTAATGGTGCACTTATAGTCTGCACATATCCTGACAGACCCATCTGGTTTCACAGGCGTTACAATGGGGGTTTCCCACCTGCTAAACGGCACCGGTTCAAGCACCCCCTGTTCGATCAGCTTGTCCAGCTCTGCTTCGATTCGGGGTTTGAGCAAAATGGGCACCTTCCAATATTTTAATTGAATCGGGGTCACGGATGGATCCAGTTCAAATGAAATAGGGGGCCCATTGTATTTATTTATTAGACTTTTACCCTGCCCTCCCGCCGAAGCGGGAGTTGTACCTTCCCAGGCCGCCCCC